TTTTTTTTTTTTTTTTTTGAGACAGGCTTTCTCTGCATAGCCCTTGGCTGTCCTGGAACTCATTCTGTAGACCAGGAGACCAGGCTGGCATGGAAGAGACCCTCCTCAATAACAAAGAAAAAGAGGCTTCCCTTCACCACCACCACCCCCTGCCCAGAGAAGGGCTTGGCTTTGTGTGAGCCGACTTCCTCTGGGGACTCCTCCAGGGCGGTTCAAGCGGGGTCCTTGCCTTAGTTTAGTAACCTTTGGTTCAGTAGTCCAGGGTCATGCCCGGAGATGTGTGCCTGCATTGTGTTCAAGTTTTCAGCTACTGCGTTCCTGTATCTTCTCTCTGAAGGACACAATAGAATAACAGGGAGGCATTCCCTCCTTCCTCTCTGCAGATAAACAAATGTCAAACATCTTCCTGGATCTGCCCCATTCACTAAAAGTTACTAAATATCCCCCTTTGTCCTCCAAACAAAGAACTCCTGGTATTCATCCTGGTTGGATCCAGATTGTGAGCGCTGCTGCCCAGACACTCACCTATGAGACCTACTAACCCAGCTTCCTTTGTCCTGCTGTGAGCTCCTAACTGGGGTTTTTCTGGCAGGGCTGCTGGGAACAAAAGCCCATAATGAATGCTTACAGATGGGCTGTGATGGGAAACACAATCTTCAAGTCACACAGGGACCCAGTAAATATCATCATTCCTTTTATTTCCCCCCTTTTAATGGACTCTTTTCTTGTACTGAATTTGTTCTTTAACCATTTCACACAGCTGGGCATGGTGGTGTACGCCTTTGATCCCAGCACTCCGGAGGCAGAGGCAGGTGGATAAATTTCTGTCAATTCAACCCCAGCCTGCTCTACATACTGCGTTCCAGGGCAGCCAGAGTTACAGGAAGAGACCCTGTCTCACACCAACAAAACCAGTTTCATATATATATATATATATATATATATATATATATACAAACACACACACACACACACACACACACACACACACAGTGCATCCTGATTACTGTTACCCCACACTAATCCCCTCCAGCCCCTAGAACTCTCTCCATTCAAGTCTCCCCCACGCTCATGCCTGTTGGTTCTATCTCGTGGCCCACTGACTTAACCTGGGATGCCTCTGTGACCACAAAACGTTTGCTTCTCTTCTTTGGAACGCGGTGGACTGCTTGGGCACACGGTTAAAGACAATGTCTGCCCCTCCCCCAGACTGCTTCTGTGGCTCAAGAGTTCAGCAGGGAAGCATGGCCTCAAGGGCCTTCCCGGGTCTCTGTTAGACTGCTGACAGCCCTGCTCAACTGCATAATTTCAAGTACAGGCGTCCCATGAAAGCGCCCGTCTGTGGGTCTCCATTCTCTCCCTGGAAGTAAAACGAGGTTGTGCAGGATTCTAGCAATCGCTGTGAGTGGAAGGCACTAAGGAAGACGGAATCGTTGATCAGGTGAAAGACAGCTGTGCATGAGAAGGCCCCTGCTTGAGGAAGGACAGCTAGAAAGAGGAGCTGCACTTGGCATCACCCTGCGGGGTTCCCGACAACCAAGCAGCCCCGAGAGCAGATAGCAAGCCGTCGTCTTTCTGCCGGCTTCAGCCATAGGGGGAAAAGGTGGTACCACCACCCACTCTTCCAGTGGATGATGATGACGTGTTCTAAGGAGATGAGCGCAGAGGCTCCTGTCAAATGAGTGAGGAGAAAACGGAAGTGGGGAGAGGAGGCGGGACTCCAGGAACCTCACCGCAACGCTCCTAGAATAAAAATGACAGGCAGAAATGATTGGCGCATCCACGGTTAAAACGCAACCCCCTGCTCATATTTCAAGTTTGCGTTATAACCTCTTGTAATATTTGGCAAGTCCCATTAATACAGGGTAAGAGAAAATTAAAGCGGACTCCTATGAGGTCCTGTTTTCCATTCCCCACCAGTGTGGTCTAAAATGACAATGCATAAAAATCAAGCCCATCCTTTTTAGCTGTTGGAAGCATTAAAGCCGCTAAAGCCCTCAGGGACGTTGCCTTCCCAAACTTTAGCAGGCATCAGCTTTCTTTTCCCGGCACAGGGGCGGCTCTGGCTGAGTCCCAGTTCTTTACGTTCGTGCTTAGGGCAGAGAATGAGCTCTCTGGAATGTGCAGGGTCCACGCCCTGCAGGCAGCTGCCCGGCGCCGAGCTCTTTGCCGCCTTGACCAGCAGGCGGCGCTGTCCGGACGCTGCGGCCACCGCCTGGCGTCCACCGAGGCCATTTCGGTCGCAGAGGGTGAGCCAGGCGCGGCCACGCCCTGGGAGTCACTCGGCCCGTTTGCTTTAGTCTCCGAAACATCCTGCCTTTTAAAAATAATTTTTTTTATTCTTTTAACGTTTCATACATTTATACAACGTGTATTGATCATATCTATCCGCCACTACTCCCCCCCGCCCCATTTTATTTACTTATTTGTGGATTTTGCAGCTCCTGAGGCCTGAGCCTTGTGCACAAGGATCCTACCACTGGGCTGGATCCCCAGCCGCAGTGTGCTCTCCTGACAATTGCTGCTGTTTGAAAACTTGGGCGGGCCAAATGGTGCAGTGGACAGAAGGGCTTATAGCTCTCAAGCCCTGCTCACTGAGACCGATTCCTGGAACACACTTGGAAAGAGATTTCTGACATCGCAAGTACCAGTGGTACTTTGTCCTCCACATGTGCTCCCACTGGATAGATAGATAGACAGACAGACAGACGGATAGATAGATAGATAGATAGATAGATAGATAGATAGATAGATAGATTGATAGATATAGACAGGCTGACAGATAGATAGATAGAGATAGACAGGCAGATAGAGATAGATAGATAGATAGATAGATAGATAGATAGATAGATAGATAGATAGATAGATGATGGATGGACGGACGGACGGATAGACAGACAGATAGATAGAAAGTTGCCCGTGGGGGTTTTTCAAAAAGAGGGATACTTTGGACTGGAGCGAAGGCTCAGCAGGACAGAGTGCTTACTGATCTTGCAGAGGGCCAGGACTGGTTCCTGCCATCCACATTCATGTAGCTCACAACTGCCTGTAACTCCAGTTACAGTGAGTACCTGCATGCAGGTGGTGCACATAAACTCACAGAGCTATGTACACATAAATAAAAATAATAAATAGACCCTTTTTTTAAAAAGTGGGGAAATATTCTAAAAACAAAACAAAAAAAAACCCCTGCATTTATTTGAGGTATAATCAAGTTTTTTAAAGACCTCCACTTTAATTCCACTCATTCTAATTAAAAAGGGCCTCTGACTAAACAAAAAAGGCAATTTATGCTGAAAATTAGAGTATATTTTTTTAAAAAATCTCCTTCCTGTTTTGTTTTTCCCAGCCTTCTGCGAGCATGGCGTGCACAAGACCTCGAGAAAATTCAGCTGCGCCGCCATCTGCTGGACGTTCGGAGATGCTGCAAGAACCTGCCGGTTGAACGAGGTGTGGTTAGCCGGGCAGACCTGGCATTTCGCCCAGGAAATAGCGCCGCGGCAGTGTTCACATGCAGTCTGCTCATCCAAAAACAAACGAGCAAGCAAACTTTAAAAAACTACCAAACCGGCCCTGTGCTAGAAAACAGTCTCCGTGTTGAGAAGCACTCAGATCTGCGTAGACTGGAATTGGTGGTCTCGGGAAAGCCCAGGGCCACACTGTGGAGAGAGGCGGCATTCTCTTCATTACATACAGCCACGTTCGGCACTGGCTGAAAACCAAAACCTTGTTTTCCATCACTGCACACGGGGGAGTATCAGAGACAGGAATCCCAATGCCCTTGTTCTCCTGGATGGACTGATTTTGCTGAACGGAAAGAATTTAAAATAAAGGGAAACAGAAATAAAAATCAAGCTGGGAGCTGGGAGGTGTTCAGATGTAGCCTTGGTGGGGTTTGGTACAAGGGCACCAAGCCCTGCCACCGTTTTCTAGCCTCTTGAGTCAGTTCTGATTCACTTGAAGATTTTTCTATTTAGGAGCTGTGGACCCTTTTCACACGAGGGTCTAAACCTATTTGCAAACACATTTATACTTGTGCTATCAAATAAACGTTGTTTATTTGAAACAATCTCTTCAATGTGGCTGCGATTCTGCTACAACGGAACTCAGAAGCCTCTTGGGGAACTGGGGAGCAGCAGAAAGAAGATCAGAGGATGGCTGGCCCAGCCACCTGGGAAAATCCGGTTCCACTGCAGAAGCTTTAGTAATGGAAACGCATTAACAAAACATAGCTCTGACCTCAAGGAGCTTCGTGGACACTTTTAACAAGACTAGTTTTTGTATTCTGGAATGAGCTTTTAGTGGTTTTCCTGGAAGAAATGAAATGACTTGACCAATCGTGTGGCTACTGGAGCCTAGCTGATTACAACATCCTTGGGGTCCATGTCAGGTGACTTCCATATCCAGTCAGTGTGTTCTAAGGATAGCCCACATTCCTTCAATAACTCAGCCCTCGAGAGGGAGACAATCTGGTCTTACTGCTAGAAGCCATAGCCCTCTCCAGGGTGCTCGGAGAAGATACTCTGGCAACTAAAACAACAGTGAGAAATAAATAAAGTACCCTATAGCAAGTCAGAAAATGAGAAAATCGAGCGTGGTTTTGTCAGTTATTTTTTTAAAAAGTCTTTCTGTTTCAGGCTAGCCTCAAACTCGGGGCAGTATTGCTTCAGCCTCCTAATATATATATATATATTACATATCTTGTCATATATATATAATGCACTGGTACTCTCTTGTATTGAGTCTCTATTTATCATATAGAGGACAGTAAATGCATACTGAACTTGAAAGTGGCTGATTTTGTGCCCAGGCAAAGAAGTGGGGAGCAGATAGAGGCAGCCAGAAAAACTGAAAGGGGAAAGGTTATCCTGAGAGCCAGGGACCCTCAGAAAACCAGCACTGTGTCAGCTGATGGCAAGAAGTTATAAGAGGAACAGAGACCCTCAGGGCCATTCCACTCTGGGCTGCCTGGGGGCTTTCTACATATGGGAATAAATATAATTATTAAATGAACATTGCCAGCTGGGCAGTGGTGGTGCACGCCTTTAATCCCAGCACATGGGAGGCAGAGACAGGCGGATCTCTGTGAGTTCGAGGCCAGCCTGGTCTACAGAGTGAGTTCTAGGACAGCCAGGCTACACAGAGAAACCCTGTCTTAAAAAACCAAAACATGAGTTCCAGGAAAGGTGCAAAGCTACACAGAGAAACCCTGTCTCAAAAAACCAAGTAAATAAATAAATAAATAAATAAATAAAGCCGGGCGGTGGTGGCGCACGCCTTTAATCCCAGCACTCGGGAGGCAGAGCCAGGTGGATCTCTGTGAGTTCGAGGCCAGCCTGGGCTACCAAGTGA